TTTGGCGGGAAAATCCAGCGAAACTTGCTGTTTTGGCGGGAAAATTGTTTCAAACTGGGTCCTTTGGTGGGAAAATTGGTTGAAATTCGGTCCTTTGGTGGGAAAATTAGCCGAAACTTGCCATTTTGGTGGGAAAATCGTTTCAAACTCAGTCATTGATAGGAAAATTGGTTTGGAACTCTGTCTTTTGGCAGGAAACTCAGCCAATTATTGCAGTTTTGGCGGGAAAAATTGGTTGAGAATCTGAGCTCTTATTTCCTTATAGATGGAGAGAAAAGGCGTCTCTAAAGGGGTCAAAACTCGGTCCTTTGGGGGGAAAATCAATCGAAACTTTCCGTTTTGGTGGGGAAATTGTTTGAAACTCAGTCCTTTCGTAGGAAATCAGTTGAAGCTCAATCCGCTAAAACCTGCCATTTTAGCGGGAAAATCGGTTCAGACTCTGAGCTCTTATTTCCTTATGGATGGAGAGAAAAGCCTGTTTTAAAGGTGTCAAAACTCAGTCCTTTGGTGGGAAAATCAGCTGAAACTTGCTGTTTTGGTGGGAAAATCGTTTGAAACTCAGTCCTTTGGTGGGAAATTCGTTTGAAACTCAGTCCTTTGGTGGGAAATTCGTCTGAAACTTGGTCTCTTGCTGGGAAAATCAGCTGAAACTTGCCGTTTTGGCGGGAAAATCGTTTCAAACTCAGTCCTTTGGGAAATTCGGTCGAAACTTGGTCTTTTGGCGGGAAAATCAGCTAAAACTTGCCGTTTTGGCGGGAAAATTGGTTGAGACTCTGAGCTCTCATTTCGTTATGGATGGAGAAACGAGCCGGCTCTAAAGCCGGCGCGGCTGACAGCTTAATGGTGGGATCGATCAGCCGTGCACGGCGTGCGCTCACAGCACCTGAACGCCTCCTGGTTCTGTGAACACTCTGGTGTTAAAGCAGAAGTTAAGCCCTGAACTGCTGCCCCATCTGTCTTCGATTTCCCGCTTTAATATGGGAGGAAGAGTCATTTAAGGTTAGCTAACGGCCTCGTAAAGAGGCTGGATGCCCTGGAAGGAGCTCTAACTGGGTCCTTGGAGCACAAAAACAGACTCAGACTCTGGATGCACCAATAAAGCGATGAAGGGAGCGAAGCTCCAACTAGATCTGTTTCAGGAGATGCAGCTTTAAAGGACTCTCTTCACAAAAGGTAGTGAAAGACTGACTGGACTGCTTTCATCCACAGAAAACAGGAGAATGAGCTGGTTTCATTCCCTTTTTAGGTCTTTATGTTGAAGGGCAGATAAACAGAGGAGGTCAAACTAAAGGTATGCACACAATAAACGATCTGAAGAGTAAAAAGTGCTGAGTTACCGGTTTCTTGGGGGGGGTGGGGGGGGCTTCTGTTTTTCATCTCTCTGTAACTTTTGGTTTTCTGAGATAAAAGACGTTTGCTTCTCTTTCCTCCTTTGAGGCTAATCAGAAAAGAGGCCCCGACTCCACGTCAGCCTTGATCCTTGTCAGCTGCTTCTTCTTCTAATTCTTCTTCTTATGTTTCTCCTTCTTCTTCTCCATGAAGGCAGGGCGCCATGCGGCGTCCACTCATCCCGGAGTCCATTTTATCTTTTTAAAACCTCAGTCTGAACTGTGTCTGGGTTTGTGCTGATGGAGTCTGCTGTTTCTGTCATGTTGGCGTTCTTTCCATCATTGGTTCTCCTAAAAAGAGTCGATTTGTGTCAAAGCCGGCTCTTCTTCATCATCTGCATCTTCTTCTGTGGTATTTTTGTTTTTTCTGTTTAAACACAGGTCAGAAGGTCAGCTAAAGTCTGAAGTCTATAGTCTGAACCCTCGATGCAGCGTCCATGCAACGGTTTATACTAATTTATGCTAATTCCTGAAGGCTTTCAATGGATTCAAGACTTTAAATTAGAAATATAAAAGTCTTAGCAGCTCCGTGTGGAATATTTCTCCCTACAGTGTTAAAGTCTGCTCCCATTTCCGGGTTGATTCAGACTGAATCTGCATTGAGGCTAAAACTGGTGACCCATGTTCTCCAGGTGGAAGCAGAACCTGTTTAGCCCAAGTCTGGCCTCACAAACGGCCCAGTTTGAACCTCTGACAGCGGTCCGTGGGGGCCCTCGGCCCCCTTCAGGCCTCTGGGGTCATCACGGGGCCCCATCTCATTCAGAAACCTCCAGAGAAAGCTCCCAGTTCATTGTCGGGCGCGCGAGGACAGGCGCAGACAAACCTAGAAATGTTCCTGCAGGAGTTTATAGTGCAGCTCTTAATTTAGGGCAGAAAGTTCCTTTTTCCAGCTCGCTTCTCTTGATCAAAGTCATTAGTCACTGATTTGGATTCTTTGCTGCTGAATAATTGAGGCTGTGAGAGGATAAAGGATTTGACAATGCTGGCTCACTAGTTAAGGGAAATAAGGAGAAGTCCCTGCTTTGAGACAGAAGGAGGAGAGAAAAGACCCAGAGAGTAAATTAGGGAAAGATTGGAGGGGGGGGTTGATGTATGCTTTCTCTGCTCATAGCTCAGACAAATGAAACATTTAACACTACAATATCTATAAAACCAACGCCCACATCTGGGATTAAAGTCTAGAATGGATAAGTTTAACATATGGCCGCCAATTTCCAGCACCGGCTGATTTGCACTCCTCCATATTAATTCATCAAAAGCCGAAGGGCTTTGATTTCGGAGGACATCAGATGAAATACAGCATGTTAGCGCCATCAGTTTTTCATCTGATGTCCTCCGGTTCCACAGTTCATCAACTTATTGTGTATTTTCCAGAGAAAAAGCATTTCTTTTAAATCTTTTATATACACTCAGATACACTCAGATGAAGGCTTAAAATCATCCAGTTGAGGCTTTAAAAAAGGACTGAAATTATAGATCTTGTTCAAAAAGACACAAAAACCACCATTTTTCAAACACAAGTGTGACGCAGAGTATTTGTTAGAGCAAAAGCAAATCTTAGACCTGACAGCCAAGCTTAAAAAAGGAGGATAAGACATTTAGATACTTGATGAAAACACTAAAAATACATAAATAACTGTATTAAATCATAATTACACAAAAGATGGACAAACTAAGAATATTCAAAGAAGTAAAATAAATAAACAGATGAGTTGTTAAACTTTTTATTTGTTCACAAATATGCCATGGCAACAGAAAAAAGTCACATGACTCTCCAGCCAATCAGGCAGGACACACAGACAGACTCTGACCAATCAGCAGTGAACCAGAGGCTGGTCAAACGTTCTTTTTTGGAAAAAAATGTTGATTTATTGTGTGTTTTTTCTGGTCATTTTTGTGGGATTGATGTCAGTTCAGGATTATGTGGCATTTCAATCTGCTTTTTGGGGGTTTTTGGTGTTATTTTGTCTATTTTTGTGGTCACTTTGTGTGTCATTGTATCCTTATTTGAGTCCATTACATTGAGCCAGTAACACAAAACATGAAATATCTTAATATTATACGATCTACAGTGGAAGAATTAGCCAAAACTAATGAAAGAATCACCACATCTGTTGTTCTTTAATATTCATTTCAAGCTGATGCTGTGGGGTCAAACTGTAGATGCTGCAGTGAACAGACTTAAAACGCTGAGTTCTCATTTTTCTGCTGTTCTCGGGCTTATTGTGGAGTTCCTGTATCAGTCAGGCAGGATGTTGCCACTGCAGTTTAGTTTTTTATGTGGAAACAGAGCAGCTCGTCGCTCCCGGATTGTCACACAGAGACCTAAATTTACAGTTTAATACCCTGAAAATGTTGGTTGATTTAGTCATGTTTCCATTCAGGAGCTGCACAGATGGAATCAGAGAATTTGAATTAAGTTCAGTCCCAGTTTTCCTGCAGCACCTGAATGCAACTACGAGGAGTCGTGTGTGTATCGTATGTATGTTTTACGAGTTCAGAGGGCCTAAAGCGGCACACGGAGCGGTTTAAAGGCACACGTGGAGCTGAGGTGACTCCCTTTGACTCCACAAACTGTGCAGTTTGTCCTTGATAGAACTCAGCCGTAAATGCAAGAATCCTTTTAAGGATGAATCGGCCTTCCGTGTTGCTGTGTGGATCTTACAGTCCGGCTGTTTTAGAGGCGGACGGGTGATCCCGTAAAGACTCCGTTTGAAGCCCAGCGAGGCCATTAGCAGCACTTTGTCCTGCAGAAATGTGCTGCAGAGTGGAGCTGTAACAAAGCCCTCGTACGCCGGAACGAGCTCTATGCCGGGAGCATACTGATGCCTCCTGTATAAATTAAAATAACTAGCTCTTCATCTCTGGAAGAAGAGGTGACTGTCTCCTTGACCAGCTCCTCATTTGTAGCCAAGAAAAAGTTGTCCTCTCCAGTGTTATGTGAGTGCTCATCACTACTCAGCCCGTGCTGCAGTGCTCATGTTGTAGGGCTCACATTTATCACATTTATGGACACAATCTGTCTGAAGTCCAGGTCTGGACCTCTGAAAGCCTCAAAGTCCTGTGAAAGGGGAAATGGGAGCAGAGACTCCAGCAAATGTTGGGAAAATACTGCGAAAAGTCTCTCACAT